GAAACTCACCCTGTCGATGCTAGTGATTAATAGTCGAAGCAGTAATACAGGAATGAATATGTAGACAGAAGCAGTGGAATATTATAGACGAAACTTTGGGAAGTTCAAATTTGGGGATACTCTGAACACAATCTGGTTCAAATAGGGCAGACTCGTGAAATCCTGCAGCAGTGAATACAGTAGAACAGAATAGGTGCACAGCAGAATATGAATACAGCAGTGACAACATGAATTCGCATCAAAATAGCGAAGAACGCAGTCAAAATACGCATAATCGAAGAAAAAGGCCGTCATCGATCGACGTAGGAGGAGAAGAGCCGTAGGACCCGCGACGAACTATACAGTAGCCTGAAATTCAAACCGTAATGGCGCGAAAAACTCGTCCGGGGAACTCGTCCAGCGTTTTTTCCGTTGTAGCTTTAGCCGCGAGTCTGAAATAGCGGATATTTGTTGACATTCATTTTTTTATTTGTTGCATGCATTTTTTTCGGGGCGCGATGCTACGAGGGCGTTCGTAAGTGGTGATTTCACAGAAAGTGGATTAGTTGATAATACCGATGGGCTTCCTCATGATGATTTGTTAGGTAGGTTTACACATTGCGGCGCACGATAAAACTGATTACTTCTCCCTCGATCTTCATTTTGGATTTTCTATGGTTCAGGAATTCGTGATTGGATCTCATTTTATGAGAAAGACTACAAGTTGGTCGGTGTTCTTGTTGGTAGGTATTATGAGGCTGAATGGACAGCCAACGCAGGAGCTACGCGATGTACGTTCTTAAAGTTCTGTTTACGTCATGTCGCCTATGCTTTATGTTGTTTTGTTTCGTAATACTTTATTTATTTTTGAACTGAATATTGATCATTACTTCAGGTATTAGGCCGTATGCAAACCGCAGCTGAATGGAAAGCTTCCAGGGCCGCAGAAGCTGAGGTTAGATTCATTTATTTTCCAATTGTTTTCATATGCTGAGCATTTCTTTGTTTTCCTTCCCTCAATCGAATGCTACTTATTAGCTTGTAGCTTTTTTTATTAGTATTTGTTTTTTTGTTGTGGTATCGCTGTCACTAAATCTACATTTTGTGAGGTTTTCCCACCATGTAACAGCGAATGGCATCAAAATAGCGGAGGGCGGGTCGATGATGTGCTTAGGGTCGATAGCAGACCTCTGCGTTTAGTGAAGGAAGGAAGGGATAGGATTGATTGAATGTGAATGGGATTCCTCAGAATCTTCTTGCACATAGGCAGCAGAGAGTGAGCCTTTTTTAGCGTTTATGCATAAAAGAGCAATTCCTATCTTTAAACCTTGCATAAAATAGACAGCTTGGGTCGATAGCAGACCTCTGCGTTTAGTGAACGCAGTTTTCGACTTCAACACTGTCACCCTTGTCCTGCACCTTATGGTCTTTTTTGTCCTCCTTTTTGACTGTTTAGTTTTTTGCAACCAAACTTACTGTGCTTGTCAAGCGATCACCGTCTGCTGACGGTATCACCAGATTCGTGTGCACAATCCGCTTTTTAAAAACATGTCACGGCTATTTTTTGCAGTGAAGTTTATTCGGCATGCACAAACGTGCATAAGATATGCTTTGCTGTCTTGGCCACTCCTCTGTTCCCATTTGACACTTCAACCCGATTTTTTTGGTGAGCGGGGAAGGGGCAATGAGTTGTGGTAATTTTCGAAGGCGGAGGACGGCTCATAATGGGCAAATTCCATCAATCGTAACATATTTTGCCCGACACCTTCTGAGATATGAATTTTCAATGAATACGCGCTAACAGCCAACAATATCGCAATTATTCTCAACTCTCTCAAATGAAAAATACGAAGACTGAAGAACTGTAGCAAAATATATTCAAAATTATTCTGGCACTTGTCTACTTAGCTTTTTATGGAGTACAATTTCATAGTCATATTCGACGTGTGTGGTTCGTATGTATTATTCAAATTAGGCGAGATCTATGACGAACTAAAGTATTATTTTCTTTTGTAGGGTATTGAATTAGTAGTATACTAATTACATTATACCTATACTACAGAGTTTTGCGCGATTTTAGCAATTTGCGCGATTCAC